AGGCTTCTTCCTACATCTTCTTCCCAGTAAATTTTCCCCTCTGGCTTGACAGCATGAGGTGCTGTGCTGTTCAGCTCTCCCAGGCTGTTCTCCAGGCGTCACAGTCTGGTGCTTGGGAAAGTCGGGCAGGGTAAGGACAGGACCAGGCTGCCACCCCTGTTCAGATCATTGGCTGCTTTGCCTCTACCAGTTGGCAGATGACAATTTGTTCTACATGGCTTTGATAATTGTTTGAGAGGAGGAGATGGAAAGAATGTGGAGTTTCCCCATGATGTTTTTGGGAAATGTGAAGAGTGCCCTGCTTTGCAAATATCAACCTGGCAAAAATGCAACAAATGAATTTTCCACACAGTTATTTCCATGGGCATAGGTAAGCTGCGCCTTTGGCTGCTGCCAGTGTAATGTTCTGTTCACCCTGCGTTACATGTGTTAATTCATCCAGCAGTTTTGCTCAGCTCCTACCTCTGTGCCAGGGCAGTGTTTTTATATCCACAGTCAATTCCTTCTCTCAGCACAGCCTGGGGAGGGGGCCATTGTTCTCCTCATCCATCAGGGATCTCAGAGGCTCAGAGGCTCAGAGACTGCAAGCTGCTTGCCCAAGTCACACAGCTAGTGAAGACCAGAGCAGTTTCACCTGGTTGTGACTCCAAGCTCAGTGCTCTCTCTGCTACCCCACATCAGCCTTGGTGCCACCAAAAGCACTCCCCAAGATGAAGGAGAATGGGATTTTTCTTTTGAGGCATGCACATCTGGAATTAGGGTCAAACCAATTCTCAAATCCCTCTAAGATTAAACTTCTGTTAGGAACAGCAGTGCGCTCACAGTACGGGGCAGCCGTCCTTCTAATGGAGACAGTGGTGTTGACACTGTCCCACTTTGGCCGTTGCATTAGTGACTTTGAAGGTCCGTGACTGAGCGTAGCATATAAGTTAACTTGCAGAAACAGGACTTAGGTAATTGTAGGGTGAGGATTATAAATGAAATTTGCAGAATCGCTTAGCAACTGAAGACCATTCTCAACTACACGGAGAAAATCAAACCGAGCAGGGCTGTGTGAAATATGGTTGTAATATGCAGACTGCAAACACTGAACTCTAGGCCACTCCACAAATGATGTTTTCAGGTGTCATGGACTGTTGCCACCATGTATTCATCCAGAGTTATTAAAGTTTAAAGTTGCACATGATTGTATAAGCATGCCTTCTTTGGGTTTTAAATTATGTTTAAACAATGTTGCGTTTAGAAATCAAGCATAAATCATGTCAACTGCTCTTCTGTAGTTCTCGGATTTCTTTTCCCTTCTGACTTTGAATAAATGTAAAATCCTTTTAGACACAAAAAGTAAAATAGAAATGACCTGTATTAAAAATTCTTCCATAGAAGCAAATTTTCCACACGACTGAAGCACACCTCTTTGAGCATCAAAATATTTTAGGAATCTTAACTATCTTTGGATGGGAATTAGTCTTAAACAGTGTAAATGCTTCGCTGCCTTCTGAAGGTTCAAATGGAATATGACTGCTATTTTTAGGGAAGCTTTCTTCAATCAAATGCAGTTCTAGGCCATAACACAGAAAGATCCTCAGGGACCATAATATTAGAGCTACTGTGTTGAAGTCAGCTGCGTGCCAGATAAGGCAGTCTACCTATATTCATTCATTTAATCTTTACTGAACTCCATGAGTATTTCCTTCATTTCACAGATAAACAAATGGCGGTGCAAAGAGATTGACAGAGTAGAAGTCAGATGAAAACAGCATCTAGTACATTATGCCCAGGTTATAGTGATTTTTAAGATCGCTAAACACAGAGCTGTTCTCTATTCAATGCCAAAACCCCTCAGGAACACCCTACATTCTTATTACTCAACCGATTATCTACTGAGAGCCTGCTCAGAACCAGGGGCTGTGATACGCTCTGGGGTGCCAAGCTGACCCAGATAGGGTCCCTACCCTGAAGGTGTCCCAGTCTCATGAGGGAGACACAGCCACAGCAAGCAACAACAAAACAAAGGCAGTCAGCCTGATGTGGGAACAGTGTTGTGGAAGCCTCAGTGGAGCACTTGGCTCCGGAGAGCTGTCATGGCAAGTGGCTTTCAAAGATGATGGGAGTTTATCAGTAAGCCACAGGGCACAGGAAAGGGCTTTCTGGGCTGTGGGCAGAGGGAGGGAGGCACAAGGGTCAGGTGCCATGTAGTGGAAACGCCAGGTCATTTGCAGTGGCTGGAAGGCAAAAAAAGCTTGAGGAAGCGTTTGGAGGAGGCTAAAAATTACATCATCCAAAAAAATGATTGAAAACATTGTGGTGAATGAGGTAAAACTAGGTTCCTCCACAGCTGCATATGCCGGTATAGTAGGCTGCTCCATCTTGTCACGATAGCCACGAACTTGTAAGACATGAGAGGCTTTGCAAAACACTTAGCTGAAGGCTGCATCTGAGTAGCTGGAGTGTATCCTTTACTCAGTCCTGAGTGAACTGTGGGAAGGGCTGGGTGGAGGTGGTGCTTCAATACCTTGCTGCTGCTGTCTCCCAGAGCCAGGGTTCCTGCCAAGAAGCCATGGCAGATAAACTCAATTGCTGTCAGGTAAACCCAACAGCTGTTCCCAGTGCCCCCTCCTCCGCCCAGCAGCTAGGGCTGGCCCCAGGACCCAGGAAATGTAAGGCAAGGGCTACCAGAGTTTCTGGAATTTTTTCCCAATTGACCAAAGGAGAGTGGGAAACAAGTAGGGAGCCCCTGCCCTCCATCCACTTTCCCTACCTTTCAGTATGGTGCTCAGGAGGTGGCATTTGGCTCTGGGGCTGCCATGTGGTGATCATGTGACCTACAGGGCTGCATTCCTCTGGAATAGGAATGGGGAGAGTCCATTTCCTTGCTGTTTTTTAGCCTCAATAGGTCACTGGCATTCCTTGGCTCATGGCCCCCTTCATCTTCAAATCCTGCAATGACAGTCTGTCCTTAAGTGCCAGCTCTCTGGCTTTCTGCAGCTGCGAAAGGTTCTCCACTTCTGAGGACTTGTGTGATCAAATTGCACCCACTTCCATAATCCAGAATAATCTCCCCGTGTCAAGGTCCTTAACCTTAATTGCATATGCAAAATCTCTTTTGCCCTGTCAGGTAAATATTCACAGGATACAGGGGATACAGGGTTTAGGACGTGGCCCTACCACAGAAAGATAGAGTCTGAGTCCTTGGTGTTGAGGAGGAAACCAATCCTGGTCTCCACCATCTCTGAACACCTTAAATAAACCACCGATATTATTATTAATAAAGCTGCTGTTAGTTTTTCTGTTATTTGAAGTCAAAAGCATTTCCGACACAGGGCTATTTGGATGATGAACAATAGCCTGCAGGACACAAAGACCCACCAGTCTGGTTCTCTGGGCCTGTGGGGAAGGAGGATGAGGTTGAAGAGGAAAGGGAGGGGCCTGCTGTAGTGCGGGGGAGGAGGGCAGGATGGGAAAAAGGCATTAGGTATTCCTGTGGCCTGCGCATCCCCTCCAGATACTCAAGAGATGCAATTTAACTCTTAGGAGATTACTTTTTGATAGCAATGGTTGGTTTCTGAATTCAGGGCAAACAGCCATGGAGCTGGGCTCCGGCACACAGGGTTTGCTTCAAGTGGCCACCTCAGCAGCAGCAGCACCAGCAGCACAATTGCCCTGTATAAAGATGACAGAAGGAGGATGAAATCCCCTTATGTGAGATTGTGGTGTTTGGAAAACAGATTCTTCCCCTCCCTGACACCTCCCTTGAGGGAGGAGAGATTAGATTTTATTCCCTTAGCAGAAACCTCTGAGGGGAACTTTGAGACACTCATGGAAGATCAAATTGAGGGTTGAAGACTTGGTAGGGACCAGTGCAGCACGGGATAGTGGTATGCAGTTAGGAGGTGGGCAAATGACACAGTAATTTCCTAAGGGACAACCAAAGCTGTTAGGAGTTGGGTCCTTTGCTGATAGGATCCACAGGGCATCTACCTTCACATCTATAAAAGTTACTAGTGACCAGGCAGAAGGGGACAGTAACCTCACCACCTCCACTGCTAAGAGCCGGTAAGCACGTGTCTTTTTCCTGCTTTTTCTGGCCTCTTCCAACACCAGTCAAGCTGGTGCAGGAGCTGGCAGGGACAGCATATCTAGGAGGCACTATATGGAGATTCAGGGGAGCTTGGAATGAAACCACTGAAACTTTAAGATGGTCTTAATAATGCAAAGTAACTTAAAAGTTGTAGGATTGCACTGAGCACTTGGTAAGCCCACTGCCCAGTACGAAACTGCATCTGACAAAACATTTGGCACAATTATGAAAAAAATGGAAGCATCAACATTTCCATCTCCATATATAATACTCTTCAAGCAGGTTACTTAAGCATTATAAAGAGGGTGAAAACAGTTGGGGAAGGGGCTAGTTGGAAACATGGAAAGCAGAAGGAAGCGAAGCTTGGTGCCCACCTGTGAGGGAGGGTTATAGGTTTCAGTGACAATTTTTGACCTGGTGAGCTGACACTCACAGTCGAGATCAATCTCTCCTCTTGTACAGGTGAGCTGGTAAGGAGGTGGAAAGAGGCTGTGCGGTCACGGGCAAGGCGCAGAGCACTCCTCTCAACTCTCTTTTGCCCTCCTAGCTTGACCTACTGATGGCTGCCCTCTTTTCTAAATAGTAACACATGCTCCAATGCATGCTTGAGTTTGTGCAGTATTCTGGTTTCTGAAAGCCAAGTTGTGACAATTAATGCTGTATCTAACCAAATGATCGTAGCCTCCCTCTTCCCCACAGGAACTAAAATCAAGGAGCATCTTCCGATTTCATGAACACTAAACCTAGGTGGCCACAAGCTTCATTTGGGCCATGAACTCCTTTGAAACCCTCATAAAAACTGTTCTACCAGCTCCCTGGAAAGTCACACACATGGTTTTGCCTTTCAGGACATATGGCCTCATAAGATTTTGACTACTAGTGACCAAAATATTGGTGTTTTTCAAAAATTAACACAGAATTGTTAAGATGGAATCGTTTTATTTAGCAAACAAAAACTTGCTATTTCAGAGTGTCTTCTAGTCCATGTACTGTGGTTTAGACTACATTTACAAAATTAGGGCCTTGACGCTGAGCAAAACAAAATCCAGAGGAAGAACTACAGTATCCAATCAAAAAGGAAGTACTAGCAAATGAGCCAGAATAAAAGATTTTATTGTATTCCATACATTCACAGGTCACTTCCAGATTTAGTAACAACACTGCAATGCTATGATGCTGTGCGGTCGTTTAGCGTAAAACCACAGTGTAAGTTGGTAGCTCTCTCCTGCTCGCTTGGCCTCTAGATGTATCACAATACAATTCCTAACTGTGGCCTGGCAACCAATGCCTATGTCCTTTGATTATTTTCTGACTGGGGCATGGGTTCATCACAGCTTCCCAGAATTTTGAAGTATCTTCCCTTACATTAGAAGCGATGGCCAAACACTCTAGTGTGAAGGCTGCTTCACACATAGTTTTCATCTATCATGACCACTCTTTCTTACACACACTTCCTGTACAGACCAGCTACACATGGCACGGTCCTGAAACCACAGGTTTTGTTTCTTTGGTCAGAATGCACCCCTCACCTTGAGTGCCTGCCTTAGAAACGCAGGTACTTGGTTCTCACAGGGTGTGCATGATTGACACAAGTTCATCTGCCCCACGGTAAAAGCTCTTCAAAACCTTTGCACAACTCGTGGGGAGCAGGGTCACAATTTGTTGCATGTGGCCTGCCTCAGCCTCAGAAGGTAAGAGATCATGAGGCTCCACTGCCCCCGGGCTCAGGGAACTCGATCTACACTGCTGGGGCTCTGCCTGTTAGGTTATGGGTGCTCACCAAATTCTCTGAAGCAGAGGGAGGCTGACACAGATTAGCTTTTATTAAAATTATTAAAGTGCAACATTGTGTTTTCACTCTATCAGGCACTGAAAAGCAAGAAGCTTTTAATTTTTCTTTTCTATAATGAAATATATTTTCTTTACTCTTATTTGTATCTGTAATACACCTGCAATTAGAAGCAGCAGTTAAACACAAAACAAAGAACAGAGCAGAAGGCACAGTCTAAGGAGCGGGTATCAGAAGAATGTTACCATTTACTCTCATAGGAATACTAAACCAAAGCCAATCAGACCAAACTCCAAAGCCCATTTTGTTTACAAGTCTGCCTCCTCAGTGCGATAGCAAGTCAGTCCTTTAAAGCAGAAACCCCGTTTATTAACCCTATATCCCAAGTAAGCAGGCCTGTATCACAACCAAATAGCTGTCCCCTTACATCAGAAAATCTAAGTGATCTGAAAGACAATTCATCATAAGTTCTTCCAATTTTCTGAGAACATCACCAATCCCACTAACGCAAACTCAAAACATTACTTCAGTCAAATTTAGCTCAATACTACACAGTTTCTTGAAATAAAAATTAGCCAGAAAAATACCTTAGAAAAGATTTGTTTTTTTCATTGTGGATTCCAGGAGACTTTTTAAGACATTATGGAATTCTCACTGATTATATTCAAATGGCAGAGCCATGTCTGCTAACACTATTTTCTAATTTTATCTTTCTTATAAGAAAAAATTTTATCTTTCTTATAAGAAAAAAAGGGTAAAAATCTGATCTGAAATACTGACAGGATTCCCCAAAGTTAGATATTAACACATCTTTTCATTTCTCTGAGAACTTTACTGTAAATATACCTTTATCGTAGAAATGAGATATTCAATACACATTACAAAATATTCTATTTAAAGATGACGAATCTATTCTTAACCCAGATTCTTCATCCACAGAAGTTTAATGACTAAAATAACACAACAGAATGAACAAATGTTTTATTGGCATGTTCATTGTTGTAAACAGCATCTGGCATGAAAAAGTTTTACCAAAACCTTTTTTATTGATTTTTATAAATTAGATGGTATTTCAAAATTTATGTAGAATTGTGTTCATTGAGTACGTTTATTTAGCAAAGCAAAGACTTGCTGATTCTAATAAACTTTGCAATGAAATCATGGTGACTGCATCAGTCTGTACCATGACCTGACCTCACTAGCAAGTTTATTCAAAACAATGTTAAGACGTTTCCCCAAAGTTAAACTACATGTAACTACAAACTGACTCTAAAAATTAAAACTGGACTTACAAGCATTCTAGAAGATTCAAACTTGAAGTAAATCTTCAAAACTAGATGTACAAAGAGAAAAAAACTGAAGCCACTGAACAGAAAAACCTCACTAACAAGGGCAAGAACAATCCTATGGGACTTAGCACTGAGGAACCTCACTGAGGATTACATTTATATAGATTGCTATACTTCTCAATGTACACAAATGTACATAATGAATGATACATGAAAAGAATAACCATGGGAGATAGTTGAACTGCAATTATGATAACTCAATAGGATCAATTTTATTTACATGCTGAATAAATGAATGAAACATATTCTCTACATCCATAACTTAAGTACAATCAGTTATAATTACAACACTGCAACATCTGAGCTGCCACCTGCTGGGAGCGGTCTAAGGGAAATGTTTTGATATTCCAGAATAATATCTTAATACTCTGCAATAAATGAAACAAAATAAAAACACAACTTCACAATTCCGTACTGGGTTATGGCTGGTTCTAAGAATTTCTTTTCTTTAGCTCCTGTTTTTGCTGCTTTCCAAGAGTCAACACACGTTGCATTTACTTCTGAACTGTCAATGAGGTAATGTGTGTATCAGTGAAATAAACAGAAAATTCATTCATCCATGGCCTTTGCACGGCTTTTATTATTAAGCTATGAGCATCCTGTTTGAGGCTAGTTTTACTAGCAGCTATGTGCACATTTATCCGCAATAAAAGACGCTTACTCATTCCCCTGTCCCCTTTCCTAGAAGAAGGTTTGCTTTTTTTTAAATTTTTTATTTTTTTGCACATCCCTTTTCACTTTACAGTACATTTGACTATAGTGCACAACATGATTCCAAGTCAAAACAGTGGCCCACTGGGCACTGAGCTTCTGATTGGTGTAGAGCAGTCCAATCAGTGCTGGTGTCACCGGGTTACCCCAACCATGTCCAGCCAAAATGGCACTACTCAGTGGTAGTGAACCATCTAATTAAAACCAAACTCCCCCAGGGAAAATGCTACACTATCAGAGTCAGTCTTGAGTCAGATCTTTATTTGGTGCTCCATCCAGATATATTTTTAGTGCTTTCTCTTTACGAGGTGAGTATGTTATACGATGTCCAGTCTTCTGGAGTCGACTGCTTTCTTTTTTCATCAGTTCATTTCTTTGCTCATCTGTCAATTCCATTAATTCTTCGGTTTTATCCCTATATATAAAATATTAATCACATATTAGGCCAGTAGAGCCCTTCGCCTCTATTAATGTATGCTTCAATGCTATGATGCTCCTCAGCAAGATAATGAAATCTGATTGTTACTGGTGAAGTAATATTATTTTATATCCTAGGATGTCCCCGATTTCTAAGGTGTTTATCACAGGAACACATTGCTAACTTCTAAAAATGGCTGAGAATAATCTCCACGTCATTAGCAGTAGTAACAGCTATCACTGTTGAACATCTATTTATAACAGGCATCGTGCCAATTATTTTACATGCAATAGCTCTCATTCTCATAAAATCCTGCAAGGTAGACATCATTGTTGCAATTTTATAGATGAGGAGCTAGGTAAATCAGAAAGCTAGTTTTGAGCCCAGATCTGTGAGGCTCCAATGACTCTTCTTTTTCCTCTACATCTGTGCTATTAGCCACATGTGGCCATCAAGCTTGTGAAATATGCCTGGTCCATATTGAGATGTGCTGGAAATATAACAGACATACAATATTTCTAAGACTCAGTACAAGAAACAAATGCAAAATATCTTATAAATGTTTTTTTATATTGTTGACATGTTATAATAATATTTTGGATATATTGGATTGGATTTAAAATATTTTAAAAATTAATTTCACCTGTTTCTTTTTATTGTTTTTAATGTGGCTATTAGAAAACTTCAAATTATAATCATGTATGGTTGTCACTGTATTTCTATTGGCTAGTGCTGCTCCGTACCATAAAAATAGTAAAGATATTTATGGAAAGTAAGCTATTTATGCACACCAAAAATGTATTACTAAAAGCAACAAAAACATTGTGAATGTTACCTATAAAATATGACTGCACCATCGTCACAGATATAAAGAGGCCAGACATTCAGGGTAGAAACTTTAGGATTCCAGTCTAAATCTTGATGAATATCAAGGACAGAAATATCACAGGGAAATGTTCCTCTACCCTAAAAGAAAAAGAATGAATGAATGCATCATGCCACTAGCCATGTTTATCTCGCACAAATACACAGATGCAAATGAATCACACCACTAGCCGTGTTTATCCTGCACAAATACACAGATGTAAATGAATGAATCATGCCACTGGCTGTGTTTATTGTGCACAAATACACAGATGCAAACATCCTTAGGGCTTTACCTTAGCGAATTCAATATCTTCCAAAGGAATCCCACTGATTTCACTAAGCTGTAAAATAAAACATTTTACTTGAGTTCATTTAAAAAAAGAAACTTGCTTAGAAAAATTGTTTTCCTTTACCCCACAAACAGAAATAGCTTGGTTTAAAAAATGTTTGATATAAAAAAATTAGAAGAAAAAGGAGGTGGCCACCCTGCAAATCCCATGTTCCAGAAATACCAAATATATATATTCCTTCCAGATCTTTTCCTATGCATACAAACTACATCCACACGTTTCCAGAACACATACAATTAGATTAATATCTCTATTTAATACTTCTGTTCCCATATAGAGGAATAGGATACAAAGTGACCACATTCTCTACAATAACTGAACAGTATACCTTTTTATCTCCTGTTGATGGACACTGAGACCGTTTTCAGGTTTTCCCAGTTACAGTGCTCTACTGTATACCTCCATGATATCCTTGCACATGGTGAAACCCCATCTCTACTAAAAATACAAAAAATTAGCTGGGTGTGGTAGCATGCACCTGTAATCCCAGCTACTCTGGAGGCTAAGGCAGGAGAATTTGAACCCTAGAGGCGGAGGCTGCAGTGAGCCAAGATCGTGCCATTGCACTCCAGTCTGGGCAACAAGAGTCAAACTCTGTCTCAAAAAAAAAAAAAAATTCTTTTTTCTTGAGACAGAGTCTCACTCTGTCACCCAGAATGGAGTGTGGCGGTGTAATTTTGGTTCACTGCAACCTCCACCTCCTGGGCTCAAGCAATTCTCCAGCCTCAGCCTTCCAAGTAGCTAAAATTACAGGCATGCACCATGACTCCTGGCTAATTTTTGTATTTTTAGTAGAGACAGGGGTTCACCATGTTGGCCAGGCTAGTCTCAAACTCCTGACCTCAAGTGATCTGCCCGCCTTGACCTCCCAAAGTGCTGGGATTACATAAGTGAGCCACGGCACCTGGCCTGCAAATACTTCTATAGATCAAATTCCTAGATATTTAATTGCACATCTGAAATATTGATAAACCAAACCTGAAAAAAATCATATCAATTTATACACTCATCAAAGGTGTGTATTCTCTGTGTCCCCTAAACCTTGACAACTCAAGGTATTTTTTGATTTTCTAAATCTTCAGCAATTTAAGAAGTGAAAAATAATGATACTGTTTCAATTTGTATTTCTTTTTCTATAAATTGCCTATTCATGTTATCTTTCTTAAAATTAGATTTGTTCATCTTTTTCTTATTAAGGTAGCTCTTTATAAATTATGGACAGCATGTTTAATAAATGTTTTAAATAATTTCCTCTAGTTTGCCTTTTAGCTTTGTTTATGAGTTCCTTTTTAAATATCTTTTTCTTTGGCTGTGCAGAGAATAGGTTTTCATGTGGTCTAAAGTTTCTTTTTTTGGCTTTTGGTATTATGCTTACAAATATCTTTCTCTAGGAATATGAAAATACTTTTAGTATTTAATATTTTACATATTTTCACCTAGTACATTTACTATTTTAATTTTTATAAAAACTTAATACATTTAAAATTTATTTTTGTGTTTAGTGTGAAGTATGGAAATGAATCTTTTTCAAAATGCCCACTGTGCTAGCACCACAGATTGACCAATTCACCCTTTCCCCAGAGATCCTTAGATATCCCATCTTAAAATATAAAACAGACCTTTATCTGGATTCTCTACACAATTCTACTTCATTTTTTTTTTTTTTTTTAAGACATATAGCAATTTAATCTATTAACTACTTTGGACAAAACCGGTCCAAGTAACAGAAAGTGAGAATCCACTTCTGAATGGCCAGGAGCCAAAGTAATTTTTCAAAGAATCAGGAACCTGAAAAAACAACTAGAGTGTGCCACAAGGTGTGACAGACACCAAAAAGAAAGGTTGCTGCACCAGTGTTTGGTACTGCTTCCTAGGTTTTCTCTTATGCAACATAGGAAAAATATATTGTTCATATGTTATATATTTTATAAATACTGTGATATACCAATACAACATAAGATACATATTTTGTTTAAAATGAACTTACCTTCTCTCGCAATTCATCAACACTACTGCTTTCCAATACAACCTCCTGGAAGGGATCCAACTTCATCTCTGAAGGCTTCCACCGTCTTGACAAAACTGCAAGCTGTGACATGGACTTCATTTTCTCTACCCCTAAGAATATGCAAGATTAGGTCATCATTCTATTTCCTCTGAAGGTTCATAATTTGACTTTTCCCTTAGTGCCTGACTAAACAAAAAGATTTACTTCAAGTGTTATTCTTCAAAACTGGGCACAAGAAAAAACCCAATTATCCTAAGGAGTTTTTGAGAATGAAATATTTACTCTCTTCTCTTTAGTCTCAGAATTTAATTCCTCTCTTCTGCAAACTATTGTTTAACCAGTACTCATAATTCCACTCTCTCCTGACTTCTGTTGGACACTGCATTAACAATTACTCTCTTCTCTGGATCTCCAATCTTTGCTTCTCTATTGGCTACTACCCTTATCTAAAATCATCATCAAATCAACTTCACTTTATCCTCTTTTTTCACTCAAGCTATTATTAACCCTTCTCATTCCATTTACTCCCCAATTTAGTGATTCTTCAAAATTTTCACTTTTCCATTGTGTCACTTTTCAAGCATTAGCTCAACTGTCACTTTTCTCTCTGGTGTACACATGAACAACTTCTAATGATTCAGTCCCTTAGTACCTATTATTTTATAATGACAGGTTTGGAGCTCTGTTTCTTCCACAGACTGTGAGCACCTGGAGGGCAATCAGTTGTTCTTACACATTTTTGTAGCACAAGGGATTAGCAGTGTCTGGCAAATTATAAGACAATAAATGTCTCTTGGATTTAATTATATGACATTTCTTACTCAACTATTTTGATGCTAAAACATACTGAAATAATACTGATGCAGGCACCCATCATCCAATACTATTTTTAGACGAATCCATCCCTGCTAACACCTACTTAATCCTTGCAAGGGTGACTTGTCATTAATGATCTCTTCCTGACTTACCCAGACACAGTGATTATTCCCTAAGACCCCAGACACTCAAAGAAATCACAATCTGGAGCACTTGCCTATGCACCATAGTAGATGATGTCCTAGTTGTTTCTTACTTCCCAAGTTAACTTGTCAATTAATCAGAATTTCAACCATTTAAATTTATGGTTGAATTAGACCTGAAGTAGCCTGAAATGGGGAGTTGTTAGTATTATTGAGCCCTCTAAAAACTAGTATAATCTTGTAACAAAATATCCACAATATTTTACTTTCTATAGACGAAAAGGAAAATTTAAATTTTTCTAAGCAACAGCAATATGTGTGTGTATATATATATATATATATATACATATATAAAACTAGTTATTTACCTTGATGTGACCTTCTAAAAGCCAACCTTCCCCCCACAGCCTCCCTCCAAAAAATAATACTTTAAAGGTACCCATGTGGACAATGAAAACTGGGAGGCGTGACAAATAGGTCTGCTACTTAGACCTCCTCAAGGTCACTGTTATGGGTTGAATTGTGTCCCCTCCCAAAAAAGACATGTTGAAATCCTAATCCCTAGTACCTCAGAATGTGACTTTATTTGGAAATAGCGTCTTTACAGTGGTACTCAAGGTAAAATAAGGTCTTTAGGGTGGGCCCTAATCCAAAAGAACTAGTGGTTTATGAAAAAAGGAAAAATAATACAAACAGACAAGCCCACAGAAAGAACACCATATGAAGATGAAGGCAGAGACTGGGATGATGCATCTACAAGCCAAGGTTGCCAATGATGGCCCAAAACCACAGAAGCTAGGAGAGAGTATGGAATGGATTCTCCCCAACAGCACTCAGATGGAACCAACTCTGTTGATACCTTGCTCTCAGATTGTGAGACAATATACATCTATTGTTTAAGCCACCTGCCTTAGGAAACAAAGTCTCTGATAATTTATCAGTACCATGTCCTCAATACAAAATAAGCCATAATAATAATAAAGAAACTAAATAACAAACATGGCTAAGAAAATATTAGCTGAGTTTTCTTAAAATGTATTACAAACCTAACTTTGTAATTTTCTTCTAAGGGGAAATTCATATTCTCAACATTCAAAAAAAGAACATTTAAAAGGCAAATGGGGGCCAGAGAAAGATAGGAGAAAGCTGAAAGACAACGATTATTCTCTCAAAAATAACTTAAGCAGTTACATGAAGACACGGGGGAAGAAAATAAAACTCCCAGGGATAAGACGTAGGTAGGAATCACATCAATCTACACTAAGAATATCTTTATGCTTCACATAACACAAAACGCTATACTGTATATTAGATTCCTTGTAACTCATTATTTTGATTAAAAACTTTAAGCTTCTATGAGTTCTATAGTATTTCTAGCTGATGCTTCCCCCCCAAAAATATTAAAAATACCATCAAGAACTTCAAGGAAAACCTCCCAGTTGCTGGAAATATTAATATCTTCTTCATAAATATGATAATCCAAAAAGACAGTGCCAGGATTCTTCCATGTTTTTTTCCTTAGACGAAACCTACAAATGTGATAAGACATATAAAACAACTATAATTTGAAACTCTCAACTTAAAGACTAAAACTAACACCAAAGAAAAATAAACTATGTTCAAATACAAAAGTCAAATAATGAGTTGTTAAAATCTGGGGAAATAAAAAAATGCTCCCAGTAATTCAAACTTAGAATCCTCTGTAGGAAATCCAAACAAAATTGTAATACTCTTGCTTAGTCCTATTAAACTAATCTGTTGTACTAAAATTCTGAATAGCACAGGAAATTTTAATTCTCCTAGTTTTAGAAAATCATACCAGTCCATTTTAACTGACCACATAGTCTTTCTTCAAATCGCTGATGACATGAATTTTACTTTACCTGTCAATACTGAGCTCTAAACCACATTGCTCCCTGAGCTGAGGAATTAATTCCTCTTTTGATTGCCGGACAGTCATTCCTTTAGCAAACACAGCATCTAGCAGAAACTTGCACGGCTAGAAATGTAAACATAAACTATCAGAGCTTGAATTACACGTTAATTAAATACATTAAAATAAAAATTATGAAAACATTTTATTTGCAACTAAGGGCCTGAGTTTTAGAGTCTATCTTCCTGTTTTTCGTTTTATTTTTGAGAGAGGGTCTCACTCTGTCACCCAGGCTGGAATGCAATGGCAGGAGCTCAGCTCACTGCTCACTGCAACCTCCGCCTCCCGGGTTCAAGCAATTCTCCAGCCTCAGCCTCCCAAGTAGCTGGGATTACAGGCACCCGCCACCAAGCTCGGCCAATTTTTTTGTATTTTTAGTAGAGATGGGGTTTCGCCATATTGACCTCAGGTGATCCACCCACCTCGGCTTCCTAAAGTGTTGGGATTACAGGAGTGAGCCACTATGCCTGGCCTATCTTCCTGTTTTGAAACCTTAGGTCCACTATTTATGAGCTTAGCTATCTTGATCAAGTTTACTTAAAATCTCTGTAACTCAGTTCTGTAAATTAGGAACAGTATTTTCTTCACTGAGTTATTGTAAAGATCAAATAAGATAACACATTCCCTTCTTATAATATTTACAATTTTCAAAGCAAAAAGAACCATTTTTATGGACTAAAATGAGGGAAATGCATACTAATTCTCCAAATACATTAAACAATTGTCTTAAAAGATACATAGTTTCCATAAACTCAGATGAAACATGTAAGTCAAAATGACTGCAATGGGTCACATTAAGAGAAGTAACCTGTGAGATAAAATACGTTGTATGAATAAAGGCATTTTATGATAAATTTATGGTTTTCGTATTTGTCTAGTTCTATAACAATGTTATGACAGAATGTTATGATAACAGGATACTACAACGGTCTGAAAAATATAGTCTTTGCCTTTTTCTTTTGGGTGTTTGTGGTAAGGCTAGTATATCACAGGGACTAAAATGGTTCATTGATGATTCCTTAAAAAATACAGCCTGTTTAGATCATTAACTCACACCATTTACAAGCAGTGTGACCTTGACCAAGATACTTAACTTCTTTGTGCCTCAGTTTCTTTATCTATAGAATGGGAATAAGAAATAATGCTGTACCATAGTTAATTGATGAGGATGAAATGAGTTAATATTTGCAAGCACTTAAAGCACACAGTAGATACTATATAAATGCTTGTTACATAATAAAATGACTTTCAACTGTTATTCACCTGTAGCATTATATGATAGTTTCCAGAAAGCAAGCACACACACACACACACACACAGAAAATTCTTTTTAAAAGCAGGAAAATGTCTCATTTCAGCATTTGCAGCAACACTTTAGAGCAGAGAGATGACAAACAGTGAGTGGTCTGAGGGCCAAGTTCACTGCTGCCTGCTTTTGTAAATAAAATGTTGAGGCACAGCTATTCTCATTGGTTTATTATTGTCTATGGCTCCTTGTGCTACAACAGCAGAAGTGAGTAACTGCAACAGAGGCAGTATGGCCTGCTAAACTACAAGGCTCAGAAAAAATTTGCTGACCTCTGCTTCAGAAAAATAAAATGACTAGGAATAAAATCTCTACAATGTATGTTTTTAGTAACTATATTGTTCTTAAATGTATTACTTACCTCTTGTTCATTGACCAAAAGCTGGTACACTTTAACTCTGTATTCTCCTTTTTTAAGTGCTCTCCCCAGTCGAATTGTAATCTATAAGTTAAAAACATTTTTTTAGATATGCTGTCTCAGCAGAATAAACTACCCATTCTCATCCCATTTTTAAACCTTTCAAAATTCTCTAGATTATAGGTTCTCTGAGAACAGGCATAACTTTTACCTCTGAATCCCCAGCACCTAGAACAGTAACTGACACACAGTTAACATGTTACAAACGTTTGTTAGATGAGTGAAGAAAAACAACAAAAAAACCCCAAATTACCATTAAACATTAAAAAAAAAGTTTCTTCTAGTGTATCTACTTCACCTTACTTGGAAGTAGTAAAAGCTGTTCTCAAATCTATCATTCAAAATAGACTCTAACTACTTGAAGATTATTTTAATCAACCTTATTGTCATCAGAAAATGATGAAAGTGTCTCATTCAGCCGGACGCTCTCAAACTCTTGATTGCTGGCATACACTCGAAAGACCTTGAAGTGAGAGGATAAAACTCCAACAAAGGGCTCTAGGTGTTGTTTGAAAGCTGCCAGAGTAATTCTTTTATCAACATGCACCATCAACCCTAAGCACACACACAAAGAAAAAAACAAAGCAGGAACAAAAATGTAAAAGAAACCTCTGAGTACAAATAAAACATCATATACTTTTTATTACACTGTTGCAGGAAAAAGTACCCCTTTTCAGTTACTTTAGCTAATATATCACACTGAATGGAGAAAAAACATGGACACAGAGTTTCTGATAAGTATTATCTGACAGCTTAAAATGTGGTGAGCTATTTAAGTGTTTGCTTGTTTAGGTTGTCAAACTCAAAAACAAGCTTCTAGGAATTCTTTCAAAATATATACATTTCTAGCTCTACACTGTAATAGTGTAAACTCTAGTGGTTCCAATCCCACCTCCTCTGCTTACTTACTATATGGGACACGGCACCAGTCACCAGCCTCTGCACCTCCATTTTCTTTACCAGAAAAATGGAGATGATAATAGTGCCCACCTGAGTGATGCAATGTGAATTCAGTGAGGTAATTCATTTATCATGCTTTCGGCGCAGTGCCAATACATAGTAACTGCCTCAAAAACTGTTAGTAATATTATCTAATTTTCAGATTTTCACTAGAAAAAATGTCACGACTAGCATACTAAAATGTCTGATTTATCATATGGTTGGGCTGTAACAAGAACTGTATTTAAATGGATCAGAAACTCTTACCTCTTCCAGGCTTAAATTTAAGCTCTCTTGCTACTGTAATAGGATTATCTCTGATGAGCTTCATTTTTCTCTAATGCTTATTATTTTACTCTTTTGTCCCTAATTTTATAAGACACTCATGAGGACACATCTGGAATGCTTCTACTGTGGTCTTCATATTGTAGTAAAAAGCAGAAACCAGATTCTCTGCTAATAAGGCAGTGCTGCCATGCTGCCTCAGGCCGCTGGACCTTCCTGGCTCTAGGGCTCCCTCCATGTTAGGTCTTGTTTTTCTGTGAAAGCTACTTGGAAGGTAAAGGATGAGACCCTAAAACACTCCTGGTTTACATTCCCATGTCATATCAAGGCTTAGGTTGAATTTTTCTCAGATGATTTTTTCAAATAAAATAATATTCACTGCTTTCCTGGCTATAAAATATAGGTTCATTAATAGAAAATGTGACAAGTAAAAATTAGAAGAAAATATGAAGAGGATGATGAACTTTATTCATTATCTACCTTTTGAGTTTTGAGGCAGTATTTCTCTTAATTTGTTTAAAATGTCACATTAATTTATAAGGAGTGCCCTTCTATGTCAATAATCCAGCTTATGGCAAACAAGCTTCTGTTTATGTTACCCAATAAAGGTACCAAATTTCTTAACAGAACAGTGTCATCCAAAAATTACTTGATTAGAATTTGAAAGCCTATGGCTAGATTTCAGTTTTGTCACTTTACTCTGATAAATGGCTGTAGGCAGGTCATCCAATCTCCCTCAGCCTCAGTTTTCCCATGTGATCACAACATGTAACATCGTTGTGACGAATGTAGCAAAAGTCTTTTCTGAAGCATTATTCAAATACAAGCTTTTATGGATATTTTGGTTTCTTTCCTAACCTCTAGTCGTGACATGTCATAGGAAGACAAAAATGTTTGTTGGTTATTTACATAGTTTAATGTGGTGATTATAATCGACTGGTTCTAGAATTTGATGGCCTGGACTGAATGAATTCCTGGCTCCTCTTCATATATCAGATTTGTGACTCTGACTTCTTAACTTCTCTGTACTTCAATACCTTTGCTATAAAATGGAGATAATAGTATTTAAACCTCAAAGTTGTGTTCTGAGGTCAATACATGTAAAATGTTTAGGATAGCTTTGGTAAAGAGTGTTAATTTATTGGCTATAATTACTTGGTAGTTGTAGAGATTACCGTTGTATCATTTTTCCTATCTATCTCTTCAGACTCAAGAGTCATGTCTTCACAGAACAACCTTAAAATATATTTATGATTTTCCTTTTTCTGTCCTTTTTCTTATGTATTTCTTCTTTTATTCTTTTTCCTTTTTTTTTTTTTTTTTTGAGACAGGGTCTCACTCTTGGCCAGGCTGGAGTGCAGGGATACGATCATAGCTCACTGCAGCCTCTCCTCCCTGGGCTCAAGTGATTCTTCCACCTCAGTCTCCTAAGTAGCTGGAACTACGCGCATGTGACCATGCTGGCTAATTAAAAAAAAATTTTGTAGAAATGGGGCCTTACTATGTTGCTCAGGATGGCCTCTAACTCCTGGGCTCAAGCAGTCCTCTCACGTTGGCCTCCCAAAGTGCAGGAATTACAGGTGTGAGCCACCTAACTGGCCCTTACATATTTCTTAAGTGAAATGGTAACCAAAATTGTACGGAGAAATTTCAGTGCAAATGCGCTACCATCTTTATTTAACCTTGGCTTTCCTGTTTATACCCAAGTGCCAATAACTGTAACTAGGTCCTAAAAGGACAGTGTTCTCAGAGAATGATCTGTAATTATTCTCTGAAACAACTCTTGGATAATAACTGCTATCTCAAGGACCATAATTTTAAGGACAGTTTGATTATTGCCTGAGTGAAGTGCCTATACTGTGCATAGTGCATCATTCTTCAAATATCAAATTCATTGTCTACCTGTTCTTTCTTTCAAGTCATTTTATCACTCTGAAGAACGTATATTATTACTCATCATCCATGTTTTCCCAGGGATGTACTTTCAGATGACTGAGGAGCTGCAATGAATCAGTCTTAGTACATACTCAAGAAAAACCTGGCTGCTGGTTGCTATCCCTACATCCCTATCTCCAAACCAGTTTTCTACACATGAGAAGGCATTTTCCAGGGTCACATTTTCTTTTCAAACAGGCTTTTTTTCTGAGGCTTCTAAAGGCCCAAATACATAAGTTATAGTGAATGGTTTCTCTTCTTCACCATGTTTACTATTTCAATGAAAATAGTATTTCATTGACTCTTTCAATGAAGTAAATAAGCCTAGTACGAATTTTCAAATATATTAAAATGGCCAACAATCTCCTTTTTAAAGATTTTATTAACTGTTCTAAGATGAAATTGAGACTTTTCAAACTACAATTCTAAGTATTCCCACTGAATTCTTCCTAAGGTTGAGACTATCATCCAGTCAAATTTTTAGCACATCATCCTAAAACAGATCACTTAAAATAAATTTCCAACCTTTTATAAAGTGGAACTACTTTTAATTTTTCTAATGCCCTCGATGGGTTGAGTATGGTAAAAAAGCAGACTAGTTACTACTATTTTTCCTTTACTAACATGCAAGGAAAAAACAGTGGCAGCAGCTATAGGGTGGTGGCTCCTAATATCTGAGTCTCATCCTAGCAGTGTGAGCTGTGTGACCACAGGCAAATTACTTTATCTGTGCGACCAGTTTCTTAATCAGTGAAAACGGTCTAATAATATCAGTTTCACACAGCTGTTAAGAGAACTAAGATTGTATTTGCATGCCGATCCAATGTAAGCTAATGAGTCTTATGAGGTAAATGTTCCATAGAAATTTAAAGCATTATTATAATATGATTTCCCTTTCTCCACTTTGTCCAGCCAATCCTCATTTTCACACTTGAGTTTCTGCAAGATATATGTATGAATGTCATATGATTCCAGTGTTATTTAACCCAGCTAGTTAAAAACACAAATTTAAATACTTATTTTATTTCATAATTTCTACTACTTCCTTTTAGCAGATAGAATTTTGAGACTATAAACATCATAGCATTTAACTTTTAGAGTGGGTGACTGTGCACCTCCTCCTCCTGAGATGAAACAAAAGGCTGCATCTCAGTCGTCTCTACTTCTAACAGCTACACAGGGCCTGGCGGATTTAGAAAATATTACTTGGATGGATGGATGAATGGATGGACAAAGAGTGGAGCTCTTTTCCAAAGGTAAAAGGAACAATTAGATGCCTTCAGTTCTAGTAATGGCCCCACTTACTAGCTAAACATGCACTTTTGGGCAAGTCATTCATCCTCTATGAGCTTTGGTTTTCTTATCTGTCAAATAAGGATATTAATGTTTGCTTTATGAAGTTTGGAGAAGACTTAAGTAAGAACAAATAAGCATTCTGAAAACTAAAATATAAAAATATAAATAGTAGTATTAATATTTGCTTTGTTAGAACTGATGTAAAGTATTTACTTTTTCAGCTACATCTCTTTTATACTTGAAGAAAGATTTTATATCTTAAACCTGGTTGTCTTGCTAATTATTTGGCTGGCCCTCATCTAAGGTTTTATAAAGGTTCTTTTATTTTAAGTCTCATACAATGCTGGAATGTTTTTGTTGTTACTACTTATGCCAAATGCCCAAACTCTCAGATCTCTTCCATCTTTCTGAGATTATGCATTGGAATTTCTAGTAACTCCTTGCTTTGGAGTTACTTCAAAGTAACACAAAAAAATTTTAAGAGCGCTTTTTCTTACTCTGACTTTCCCAGTTAATTATGGACTTTTAAGGGGGTGTAGCAAGGGAATTGTTGTTTGCATTGGAAAATGGAGACAAGAGCATGTAGAAATAAAACAGTTTCTGGGCATTGAATATCAAATTTTCTAAAGAGTCTGAGCTTTTTAAAAACATATTACTTACTTTTTAATATATTCCTGAATTTTTTACTTAGTAACTGTATCATAATTCTTTCCTAATATTGAATATTATTTTTTTACTTACTATGTCAGAGTTCTGACATAATTAACATCTAATTTATTGCACAGGTCTAAAAATTAGCTGGGCATGG